CACTTCATGGTGAATCAAGCCCATGGATACTTAGCAGGCAACAAGTATCTATGACACAAGTAGTCAAGCTTACTCTGTTAATTGGTTCTAAACAGTTAATTCTCTTGTTTATCTGTAGCTGGTTACTGAGAAGATATGGCTTCTCAAATTTATGTTGAAGTTCTCTATTTAGTCCAGTTTAGTTTAGTTCCATTGAAATCATGTATAGAGAATAGTAATTTTGTTTTCATCACAAAAGATTTCACTTTCCTTACAGATGATGAGAAGATCTTGGTATTTGTTGAACAAAAGCGAGTGGCTGATTTTGTCGGTACTTACCTCTGTGAAAAGAACTTCCGGGCCACCACTATGCATGGGGATCGTTACCAAGCACAGCGTGAACAAGCATTAACAGACTTTAGGACAGGTGTCTTCAATATCTTGGTAGCTACAGCTGTTGCAGCACGTGGTCTTGGTAAGTTTATACTTTGATATAAGTAAAAATAAAAGTGACCATACTACTAATGTATCCATGTACACTTAAGTAAAGAATCAAATGTCAAGTATTATGTAGAAATTAATTTTGACAAAGATTATTCATATACCTATTGACATGTATGGATACTTACTTACATACCTATAATTATTGCAGATATTAAGGGCATTGGTGTGGTAGTCAATTATGATTTACCAAAGGAAATTGATGAATATGTCCACCGCATTGGCCGCACTGGACGTCTAGGGAATCGAGGCTTGTCCATTAGTTTCTATGATGAAGAAGCGGATGCCTGCCTAACAAAGGACTTGGTGAAGGTCCTGAGTGAGGTAAAAGCCAAAAAGATATAGGCAGATGCGGTTTAAATTACAGTAGTAAATAGCCTGGAAGTTACAATGCTACAATTGACCTTAGGGCTGATGGGGGGTAGGGGGAATCATTTCATAGTTCATATCAAGACCTCATGGTCTTTTTTTTTTTCTTCTTCATACAGCTCACAATTATGTTGAATTCAATAACTCTAAACTGAATTTCCAAAATTGAATCCATAGTTTCCTTTTTATGACCTAGAGGTTTTCGCAATAAAAGTAACAGAAAACAAATAACTAGAAAAAAATGTATATTGTAAATTTTTTTTTTTTTTTTTTTTTTTTTTTTTTTTTTTTTTTTTTTGATGGGGATACAATTCCCTTTTTATGTCACCCTGGCCCTCAGCCAAATTTTTCCTTAACAGTATGTTCATTTCACCCACTCCTCCATCCTTTCTCTCTCCATGATGTGATGGTCATGTTATCCAAAGAGTAGAGGTTAAGAATAATGTACAAATGCCTAAAGTACTCTTTCTTTCACCCTACCAGAATTCTTGAAAATCTGTGTGAATGTTTTCTATTTCTTAACAAAAAAACAAATATTTGCATTGTATCTTGGATGTCTTGTTTTGAATTTCTCTGTAGGAGAATATAATATTATTAACAGTATTTGTTACTTAACAGGCCAAACAAACCATCCCAGACTGGCTGACACAAAAGGCAAATACAAGTGGATATTCACAGACTTACTATGGCAGTGGCCTGTTTGCTTCCTCTGATATAAGGACAAAGGTGAGTGATTGAGAGTTCTGCAGGACTTGTATAGTAACTTCATTCATGAAGAAATGGCAAAATGACCAAGACAAGTTAGTCTTTGTTGTTTTGCATTTTCCCCTTTTAATTCACATGATACATATTTGATTCAGCAACCAAAAAATAAGCAATTTTACCTTTGAACATTGTCTAAATACCTGTCTCTTGTATACTCATACAAGATAATAATTGCAACTTTATTTTTCTGTCAGAATGGGGGAGAAAAAGACTGGGAGAAAAACCAAGGTAGCACCTTTTTGGGAGGACCTAGTGAAAACAACGTGGATGAAGAATGGGACTAAATTTAAACATTTTCTTGTATAGTGTACCTTTTACATTTGCTTTTGTATTATTCTTGAACAACTGGTAATATGTCCATTTGATTAATGGTTAATTTCTCGGGAAATGATAAAGGTTATAGCACTGAATTTTACTTATAAGAACTTTCAGCTAAGTCTATTTTCAGTAGTTTTGCTGAACATGGGAACTATGTTGTTTTCTTACAAAGGTAAAACTTAGCTATGAAAGAAAGTTTTCCAAAGTACCACAAAGTAATATAGTTTATATGATTTTGTGATTATCATTGTCTTTTGTACTATTAACATTGGTTCAATTGGAATTAAAAACTAGTTTATAGTTTACATTCATTGATTTTCTTTATTTCATTATTCATAGCATAGTTTCAAGACATTGTTATTATTGAGCTAGGATACATTTGTAAGCTAAGAAGATTATGCATAAAATGTGAATGTGGAATAGTGTGTTGGGGTAGTTGTCCCTTATGAAGTGGATGTCAGCACCCTCCTTACTTGGCCTTTGAAAATCACTAGTCATGTTTGCATATTGAAAGGTATGTTATATTTTCTTATTCACAGTACATGTGCATATAAATTGAGGCAAAGGT